TTTGTTACCCAAAAAAATTGATTACCTAAACTTATTTTCTATTAAAGGATTTTTTAATTTATTTTATATTATGGATGTTTTAGTATTAAATTCCACAATAATATTTTAATGTAATGGATAAGTAGAGTATTTATTGCAGTTGATTAAATGTGGTTTAAATGTTTTTTACATTTATTAGGTCGGATATTTCACGATAATTTAGAAAACTTATCACGACCGTCAGAACTTGTATTGTGACAGTAGGGATAAACATTTTCGATTATCGTGGAGTATCAGTATCTAATAAATATATAACTACCACATAAGCGGTCGTGTGTCTAGGCTCGTCTAACGCGTCCGTACCACCACAGTGATAGCTGTGCAAATTCAATACCACATCAACGGTTCTACAATTAAGTAATCTACCAGAAGTAAAAAAAGGGGTAAAGTGCATGTGACATCTCCACCTGGATAAAACATCAGAATGCCTACCTGCAAAAATGGGTGCGAGTAAACGCGTCCGTGTCCAAAGCGATAGCGGTGATCATCTTCACAATACCAAATCAACGATTATACACGTAATCTATCAGACATAAGTGCAAATAAGGATGTAATGTGCGAGTACTCCACCTGGATTAAGCCCCAGATTGCTCTTCCTGCGAAAAAGGGTGCGAGTGAGGTGATTAATACAACGATAAACTTTCCTGGATTACCAAAACAGAACCAACGCTTGCCAATAGTGGGCGGTCGAGGTCAACAAATTTACCGAGCCCCTAAGGGTGAAGCACATAAACTCCAAGTCGGCTTAAGCCGGATAAGTAAAATTACCTAAATTGCATGGCCTTAATATTAACCAAATACTAAATCCTAATGCGAAATTCGCAACCTCAACTAACAAAGAACTCAACAGGTAAATATTAATTAGTCGCCAACAAAGTTCCCACAAAAACAGCAAGCATATAATATATATGCATAAAAGCATTCAGTGCATTCCAAAAACAAACATTCGACAAAACCAATAAATAAGCGTCAACCCACCCTCATAAATCTCGAAAAAGCCAAACCAAACATGAAAATCGTAAACACCTTAGACCACTTAGTAGGTATAGTTAAAAACCACCCAAATTTTAATGCGAAATTCGCAACTTCAACAGAGAACTCACCAGGTAAAAATTAATTATCCGCCAACAGTTCCCATAATAACAGCCAGCAAATCCAAAGAACTCATAAACAAGGGCTCACTTAAGTTCAAATAAACACTAGGCAAAAGAAATTCATCGTAAAGAAATAAACATCCGTAGATTACTAAGCACATTTAAGGGGACCATAAACTAGGGAACCAACCGAAGTGGCCGACTTCTTAAACACGAAATAAAGTGGAGTATACTATACTATCGACAACGTTGTATACAACGTTGTCGATAGCTCGGAATCCGACTCGGGCAGAGACACGGACACAGACGAACAGGAAATACTTCAAGACCAGCAAGGATATATCCTATAGGACCTATAGGTCCTAGCAGCGTCCTAACCAACCAAGCCCCATTCATAAACTCCAATTGAAAGGGGTTATTACTAAATCCCTGGTTGAGGAAAACTCCGGATAGTACTTAGTTTTGAGTCAGTTTAATGTCCCTTAAAAACAAAAATGTTTTCCCTCCTTGTCCCGCACTTCACTAGCTTAAATCGGGCTTATGGGCCGGCCCAGCGATAAAATTCCGGGAGTGGCCTTAACCATCGACACTGTCATTCAGGGAGGAGAACTAAAAGGGGGTAAAATAACCCTGGGAAATTAGTGTAAGGCGTTACCTATGCGGCCAGCCATACGTTCTTATACTCAATGAGTATAGAACATACGTTCCTGCTGGTATTACTCAATACTCATACTCAAAATTTAGTGCCACATTGTATTATTTTAAAATTTAAATAGAAAAGTTTAATAAAATATTAGTGGAGCCTCGGCGTTGCCAACTTTTTTTTCAAGTTATCCCTAGGGAATGAGAATTTGTCCCCAATTTTACAGATTTTTTCCTAGGATATTTTAAATTGAGAATTTTGTAAAAGTAAATCAATTTTGACTGGGGTTTTATAATTTAAGGAAAAATTGAGCCGGCCGAAAAAAACCTTGTTTATTCCGAAATAAAAAACCTGAAAAACTCGGAAATTTTTACGGATAGTATCTGTAAATATAATATAAGTGTAATATATTAATATTGAAATAAGCCCACTCGGGGACCATGGCAAATTGCCTCTCTTACCTCCTACCCCTCTGTGGGCCCTGTGCCAATTATATAAATAGTAAATAGGTACCTATGTTTACCACAAATTTCTTGAGAATTAATTACTTTTAAAATATTTTTCTCGATTTTTATGTAAGAATGTCATATTCTCGCACGCAAAATCGTTGAAGAATGAAGCTCATTCTTAAACGATTTTTGGTAACATTTAGTTTTTAAGTATTGGTACCCCCAAAATGTCAAACTGATTAATAACCTCAAATTCATTACTTTTATTGAAAATGAAGCCTTTATTATTGTTTTGTAATATTAAGTTTGCTCCAACAATGCATTTTAATGCAAAATTTTAAGTTTAATGTAAAAAAGTGCAGTTCAGGTTGTACTTGTGCAGGATAACAAATATTGTCATTTTGTGTTGCCAACTGCCATTTTGCGAGAAAAATCCCCTAATTAACAACGACCACAAAACAATTAAAAAAACCTAAATAAAAGTTAAAATCGAGAAAATAGTATAAATCACACGTTGCAGAAGGCTATTCTCGCACTCATTCGTTCGTCCACTCGCTCCTTCGTCGCTCGAGGCCAAATTTCGAATTCGTGCGAGAATATGTGGCCTTCTGCAACTTGTACTTTAATATACTATTAAAATTACTAAAACTAAAGAGATATAGTACTTTTTGGTAAGCTAATGAGATTGTGCCACTTTCATTGTTTTATATTTATATATATTTATTATTTTTAAATATTTTACTGAAATTTTACGAAAATTGAAGAAACTTCATCAAAATTTTATGAGCCAAAGGCATTTTTTATCCGTTTTCCTATGCAATTATAGCAAAAGTAAACGTTTAAATTAATCATGACTTTTAAAAAAAATTTAAAGTCTGATTTAATTTACAAATTAAGTTGGTAACTGAATTAAATTAATTTATGCATATAAGTAACAATAATTACTTATAGTGTATTCAAATCCAAGCCGAACTAAACAAAAACGCCCAGACGCTTGATAACTCGTTCTGTTGTAAATTATTATTAAAGGTCCCAGGGGAGGCCGCTTGTGAAATTTATGCGAAATTTTCAGTAAATTGCGAAACTTTCAATGAAATTTCTGAAACTTTCACAGGCAATGTTGAAATTTTCGGATTGAAAATTTCATTTGAAATTTTTAAAAATTTTACTTTTCCAACTAAATGAAATATTTCAAGTTTGAAACTTTCAAAGTTGAAATTTTCATTTGAAAATTTCAACTGTCCCAACCCTACTCACATAGTAGGCCTTGTATTTTATAAAAATATGGTATTTTTGCTCCAAGATCTACACTTTGTAACTCTGGTTTTATTTATCGAAAAAGTAAATCTTTTAAAAATATGTTTGCACTAAAGTCACTATATTTCCGTTTAGTTCGTTCTTAACTTGAATATTGTTCAAATATTTGGTATCCTTATTATTAGAATCACTGCCAATCACTTGAAGCAGTTCAACGTCGATTTTTGAAAATGTTATATATTAAAAAACAATACTTATCCAGAGAGGGGATATGAACACAATCTGTTATTGCAGGAATATAATATTTCAGCACTAGATGTTAGGAGGAATATATTTTCAATTAAATTTTTGTACAAACTTGTCCATAATAAGATTGACTGTCCAGATTTGCTTGAGCTGTTGAATTTTCATGTTCCGCGTATTCATTCTAGGTCAGTTTCAACCTTTAAATGTTTTGCTCGTACAAATGTACTTTTGCGGTCGCCAATGTTTGTTATGTGTTCCAACTTTAATAAAATATCTCACGTGTGTGATTTTAACTATTCTGTTATTTTATATTGTTGCTGTTATGTTACTATAGTTTTATTTTTTGTTCTTTGTCCTGTAATTGGAATTTTTTCTGTTGGGCAATAAATTTATTATTATTATTAAAACAAATCTGGTTAATATCGCACAATAAATAAAGATTTTACAGGGGCGAGTCGCAAACAAATAGTTGACATATTTTTGTATGAAATTTTACGCTTTACAAAAAAGGTCTTTTACGTTTTTTTCATAAAACCATCCATTTAAATGATCGGTGGTCAAAGTTTAAAGTAAATAAAAAATATAGGTATCATTTTATTCTGAATTTCATAAGTCGGCTTGAAGTTGTTTTTTCACTTAAGTATCATCTAAATTATTTGTCTAGTCTAAAAACAATTTTGAATTTTTTTCCCGATGTCTTTAAACCTGCCTAAATAATGATACTTTATTTTAATATTTTTGACATAAAAAACTCCATTTGTCGCTAACTTTGTTATTGGAAACTGAACTGAAAAAAATTTAATTTGTGGCTTAAAATAAAGGTATAAAATAAATAGGGACATTTTTTTTAATTTTTTTTTATTTATATAATAAATAACATACATATTATTAATGAAATAAATCTACAACAATTCTATAGTATTCACCCCCCTAAAAGTGCAAGTAGATTATTACACATAGAAAAAAATGACAACAATTAAAAATGATATTAAACAATATTACTATTATTTAAACTCAACAAGTTTATATTTAATTATCACAAAATAAAAAAATTATCGTTAAAACATTGAATGAGAGAATTATATTAAATCTTAATTTTTAATCCTAAACATTTATTAAATACAATAGTATATAATTTCACCCATTTTCTTTTAGCAAAATATATATTTTTGTTTCAATAGATTTTAAATAGAGTTTAGACTATAGAAGCTTTATATTATACCCAAAACAAAAAAAAACAGTCATTATTAAAAAATTATTTAAAAGATATGTTTGTACTGTAAAAAAATTAAGTTAAGTTAAGCCTTTAAAAAAATTATAAATTAAATTCGTTTTATTTATTTGAATTATTTAAACTATATGTATATCAATCTTTGGTTTATAGTGTTGGTCAGGAAAAACCCAAAAAATATTGTAGGTATATGTGTATGGTAAACTCAGTATTTTTTTTTATTTTCCTAAATTTATTTAATAAATGGGGTTGTCCGCCATTTCGCATTGCCCTATAGTTACCCTGTGCATGGCCATCTCCGATATACCGTGGTAGTGCACTAAGGCGCCCCCTAGTACGAAAACGTGGAAAATTTGGTGCGAGTGCAGCCAAATGTCAAATTTGCCAGGGAACCAGCGTTCTGGTACCCTAAGAGCGTAGAGAATTGCGCCCATTATGTAGAGAAGCCCCATGAGGATCAACCAGCCTAGGGATTTTTGACTGACCTATTAAATAATTTGAATTTTAAATAACGGAAAAATGTTGCCATAAAATTTGGTTTTGGGCCTTTCCATCTCAAATCGACCAGGCAGTTATTTTTTGACGAAATTTTTTTACAGTTTCTCCACCGAAATCGATGAGACCGGTATTTTTTCTTTTTGCTTAAATTTGTTTTGTCCACCCGTAGGAAATTAAAAAAAAATGGACAGAAACATCGATTTTTCTCTTTTTACGAGTGATATTTTTTCTTGAAACTGCGATAACTTGGTCAAAAATGCGATCGTTACAATTTTTTTTTAAATTGTAGGTAAATGTTTACTTCATACCAAAAAGTTCTTTTATATTTCTTTTATAACCAACAAATAGTTTTGGAATAAAGTATGGTTTTTCAATTTTTGAAAGCTCCTAAAGACCAGCATTGCAAAAAAAGAAGACTGCCCAACATGAAGCAGAGAAGCCAATTCAAGGAACACTAGATATGGAAATAAAATATAAAAAAATGATTTTTCAGAATTTTATTTTGAATCGAAATATGTAAAAATGCAAAGGGTGTTTTATTAAAAAATAAAAAATTAAGACCTTTTCCGGTAAAACCGGAAATGACAAAAATATGTTTAATATGTCAACAAATCATAAATTGCACTTTATAAAGGTCACCCCAGACTCTAAATAAAAAACCAAATTTTTGCGATGAATCAATTTACTAGAAAATTGCATTTTCAACATAATATTAAAAACGACGAATTTAGCCAACTCTGGACTTTTGGTAAATGTCAAAATTTTTACCTCAATTTTTTTTGCCTTTTTTATATATTTTTTTGTATGTAGTAAACATTAACAATTTAAATAAATAATTGTAAAGATCGAAACATTTTTGGCCAAGTCATCGCATTTTCAAGAAAAAATGTCACTCGTAAAAAGAGAAAAATCGATAATTCTGTCCATTTTTCAAAAATTTCCTACGGGTAAATAAAAGAAAAAATACGGGTCTCATCGATTTCGGTAGAGAAACTGTAAAAAAAATTCGTTGAAAAATAACGACCTTGCTTGGTCAATTTGAGATGGAAAGCAATATTATTTATGAGTCATTTTAAATGCAATTATCAAAAAAGGAAAAAAAATATTGAAGCACTATGAGTAGATTTTGCTCAAACTGTGGAAATGTTCCTTAGGGTCCCAAAGAACCTCGCGGTGATTTAATTTTCGCATGTGCCAGTGCCGCGAAAGTTTTTCTATTAGAGATAATATCTACTAAGTAGATATAGAATGGGACAAGTAGATTCTACTTGTCCCATTCCACGTCAAATTAAACAGTGCACCACACTGACTCAGATTTGTCTCAAATTTTATATAGATGATTTATAGGCTAGGATAATCACAAATCTCAATATTAAAGGTTCTACGACAATTAATTACCGATATATTATAATTTTTTTTATTGTTTTTGCCTGAGCATTGCATAATTTATATAGATGATTTATAGGCTAGAATAATCACAAATCTCAATATTAAAGGTTCTACGACAATTAATTACCGATATATTATATTTTTTTTATTGTTTTTGCATAAGCATTGCATAATTGACGGGTAGGTCGTAACAACTCAAGGGACTCCTGATTCATGTTCTAAATTTTATATGGTAAAGATGGTATAACACTACTTATAGAAAAAAAAAATATTTGGCTTTCCACCTAGGAGTTAAGAAAAAAATTAATTAACTATAATGTGCCTAAAATGGAGCGTTTTTTAAAACATGAGACATGTCAAAAATACTTGATATACAGCTAGGCTTAACAGATGTTTTATCAAATTAAGTTTTTAGTAAATTGTTTTTATCAAATTATTTTTTTATTAAATCCTTTTTTATTAAATTATTTTTGATCAAATTATTTTTTTATTAAATTATTTGTATCTCGAATATTTTTTGTATCAAATTATTTTTTTACCAATTTATTTTTTTTTAATTATATTTTTATATTCATTTATATTTCTTTTTTTATGCAAACTATTAATGACTGAAAAATTATTTGATAAAAGACGGCAGGCGCATACATTTTTACTGCAGCTTCTATGTCAAGTTGAAAACCTTTTATGGGAACAACCATGCTATCAGTTGTTGAGTAGAGTGGGGAAAAATTGATCCTACACCAAATCGATTTTTTGATTTTAATTGATAAATTAATAAAAAAACCGGTGCGATTTAAATAAATTTAAAAATTTGATTTAATTTGTTTTAATAATAAAATAAAGCAGGGTTATCAATAATTTTTTGATTCGCATAGAAAATAATTTGATAAAAAAATAATTTGATAAAAACAATTTAATAAAAAAATAATTTGATAAAAAAAAATTGATAAAAAATAATTTTGTAAATTATGCATATAATTCATTATTTTTAAAGCAAAATAAGATTTTGCACTTTTGACAAAAATAAATAAAAAAACAAAATTTGTTGTATTTTGTATTTTTTTTCTTTTATTTTTGGCATTTTACATTCAATAGTACCAAATTAAACGTATTTTCAGTGCTGAGGTATTTTTCAGGGGTGTGAGTTTATTTAATTACATAATTCAGTATTTTTCAGCTTTAAAATGCCTTTTTAAACGAGTAGGCATCTCCAATAGAGAAAATTCTACAGTTAAAAAAAGTAAAGTATAAAGATAGCACTTATAAATTCTTTATTTTGTGCGGACCAAAACTGGCGGCGCGAAAATTTAATCACAGCGGATTTCAAAGAACATTAACACAAAAACAATTGATTTACTCACCGTATTAAACCATCCCTCGACAATTCCGTAATGTATAGCTGGTATTATTCCAGAAAGTCCGAAAGTCATGAAAACGCCAGCTCTAAAAGGCCTCCATCCAGACTCAGAGAATTTATCCCATAGACTAACCATAATAGAGGTAATTCCCAAGGCGCAGACTACCGATAAATAAACGACTTTAGGTTTAAAATGGCAGTAGAACCCGTAGTAAAGCCATGGTACAAAAGAACCCATAATTAACAGAGCTATACCACAGTAATCTAACTTGGAAAATAGTTTGCCAACGAATTGAGAATGGCAATTTAATGTATGGAATAGACTCGAAAAACCCAGACAGATTATAGCACCTGCGAAAAATGCACCAAAGACGATTTTTTCCTGTAATTCAATTTCCATCATTGGTCTCATTAGGAAAAAGATTGCTATACCTGAAAATAAAACATCTTGTCATTTCCCTGTAAGTTATTCCCACGAACAACTTTTGCCCGATTTTAATAATATTTGTAGCTTCATATATCCACTTGATTGTGTTAAAATTACAACGCAATCAGATACAAATTGACAAAATGACACTTAAATCAACCGTAAGTGTCACCAATTTTGACGCGCGATTGCAATATTTTGACAGTTTTATGCGATAGAGTTAAAATTTTAACACGATAAAGTAGATAGATAAATCTATTTTTTTAAATTTCATTGAAATCGGACAAAAATTGTTTGTGTAACAGAACTAGGTATATATAATTTATTTTTCTTACTAAAAACTTACCAATAAAAGCGACGCAACCCAGCAAATGGGTCCAAATATTTGCGGTTTCAGTATGCAACCTAAAAATACTTTTAAAACAAGCCCGGAAACTAGGTAGGGGCGGTCGGTGTCCGAATATGAGAAAATCGTTGTCCTGAAGCCATGCAGGCAAATTTCTGAAATAAAATTTAGTATTTTCGACTAAAAACAAAGTTATGTCGGATGTAGAATTTTTAGGTGCGACAAAATCCCTTAAGGATTTTTAATTTTGATAAGGTTTATAATTTGTTTTGTTCTAAATGCATTTGTATAACAGAAATATTCAATAATTAAATTTAATTTAAATGCGCCAGGATAGGAAACAATTTGTTGATAACAATAGGAAAATATTTCCAGAACAATATTTGCAATATACTGAAATTTTTGCATAAATAAAAATATTTTATCTTTAAGCGGTCCATAATATAAACTTTATTATTGAAAACACTCATTACCAAAGTGATTCGATTATCGCCTAGGCTCTAAAAATAATTTGGAACAATTTAAAAGTATGATAACTGTCAGATCTTCAAACATTTAATAATTATTATTATAATTGTACGTTTTATTTATGTTTAACAAAAGGGGGTTAGAACCGGGTGACAGATGTATTTATAAATTTTGTCAAGCCGCGGTTTTTTGGTGTTTACACAATGCAAGTAATCAGCTGATCAAACTTGTCCTAAAATAGAACCTGTTCTGTTTTCATGCAATAAAGTAACTTAGTAACTTTTATAGGGATTTACAAATATTCACTAAATATTTTGGTTGGTACTCAATATTTATTAGCTGTGGAATGTCAGATAACTTTTATCTTGAGATTTGCGTTTAGGCTTTATGATCTGTGCGTGTTTTTCTTCATTTACAAGCCTGTGAAAATAAACCAAACCGGCTTTCAGGGTTTATAAACATTAATTTTGTTTAGGTGTTTTTATTTTTCCAATTGGTAATTTAGCAATTCTAGTAGAAAATAGCGTTAATTGCATCGTGTGAACACCGACTTTGTCGCCTCTATACAGGGTGTCCGAAATAACGTTACTACACTGCCCGTCAAAATTAACGCATAATAAGTAAAAAAACTCTAAAACACCTTTACCAATTTTTATGAAATTTTGTATAAAAATACTTCAACTTATTTCTCAGTTTACGTGTTCGAGGGTTTTTCAAATACATATAAGCCCATTAATTAAATAATAAAAAAAACGTTCTAAAAATAACTTTTAGAGATTTTTTTTAAGTAAATTAAAAATATGGTGTTAAAGACCGTATTTTTGTTAGTATACCCTAAAAATTTAGTGCAAATAATAATAATAATAATAGACTAGAATTCTGTCGCTGGTTAAAAAGAAATTGGCATGAAGACACCAACTTTATTGAAAAAGGTATTTTTACCGACGAACCCGGATTCAATAGGGATGGAATTATTACTTTGGATAGGACGAGGAGGACCAATTCCGTGGCCTCCTTGTTCTCCAGATTTAAAAACACTCGACTTCTGTGTGGGGAGATTTAAAATCATTGGTGTAGGCAATTAAAATTCATAACGTTGACGAGTTAATGCCGCGGGTTGTAAATCCATAAGAAATAAACCTGGATTTTTCAGAAACATTAGATTTATGAAAAAACGCGTTAGTAAATGTGTAGAAGAGAACGGCGGTCATTTTAAGCATAAAATAAGACTTGTTGATAATTGGAAATAAATTGCGTTATTGTTGTGATTCGTTTACTGTGTTTAATAATTTATAAATTTGTGTGGCGAGACACTTTTAATAGCGTTTATCTCGAAAACGGTTGGCTCTTTGACTTTGTAAAAAGATCAGCTTTTTTACGTCAAATTATCTGAAGAATTCTATTCCAGGATCGAGAATTCAACAAAACCCTACAAAAAAGTTAGGAGGTCATCATTTATCCGACTTGATACCCCCGAAATAAATTTATTTTAACACTAACCTTTTTGAAATAATTAATAACCCAGGAGGCATTTTCGGACATCAGTTTATAGCATCTTTTTCTTTAATTTTTACGTGTAGAATCACCCCCCCCCCCAACTAAATTGTTTTTCATTAAGAGCGACGAATTTTGTTTTTTTCAATTAAAAGACGTGTTGGTTAGTTATAGAAATGATTTTTATTTCAAATGAAAGTAAAATCGATGTCATTATTTCGTTCAAATGTCCGCGGAAGCGCTGGCACGAGTGAATACGGTGGACGCAATTTTTCATGACTCGAGCGCACAAAACGGCCGAAATGCCAGAAATTTCGCGTTCAATGTTGGCCTGCAGCTCTTCTAACGTTGCTGGCTTGTTGGCATATACCAGCAATTTAATGTAACCCCAAATAAAAAAGTCTAAAGGGGTTAAATTGCACGAACGAGGCGGACATTCGCGAAGACCATTGCGTCGACCGAAAATTGGCGCAACGTAGTCGCGATAGAACGTGATAAAAAAGTTAAATAATTTGCAAACGTTGTTGAAGCGTGTATCTCTTCATGATTAAATGGCATACACTGACGTTTCAAAATGTAAAAGAATTGCTAAGCCAACTCTCCTATTCGAGAAATGTCAAAAACAAAATGCGTCGTCCCTATTGAAAAACCCTTTATAATAACGTTATTTCCGGACCCCACAGAGGCGACAAAGTGTAGATGCAATAGTCTCGTATAATAATTCAACGTTTTTATAAAATATAATAATCATATTTTGTAAAATAATTTTTAAATTCCAATAATCATTATGTTAACCGACATTTTTCAGCCTACTTTTATACTAAATAAATCTACTGATATCTTGATATATTGCGCTTATCGGAAACAAACTGTTTTTGCGACTACTAGCGCCATCACTTTTTTAAGGAATTATCACGACCCTCGGATATATTTTTGACTTACCTGAAATGGCATACCGACCAGCCGGCCTGAATCATTTTTCGTACGACATGTTCAGCTTGAGATGCAGCATTGTGCGCCAAAGCACTAATGTCCAACTCATCGCCTGAAAAATTCGGGAAATTTGCTAGAATTACCCCGAATAAAAAAAACAGGTCACAAGGATATCTATTTTTTCCTTTCAAAAAATCGTCAGATAAACAGTTATTTTTATAATTTTTTGTATATCAATACGTGTGTTCAAAAATGTTAGGGAATTTTAGTTTTTTGGAAATTCCATAAAAACGAAAATTTCCTTAAATTTTTAAACACACCTTGTACCAACAAAAAATAATAAAATAATATAACAACATGCAAAGTACAGAAAAAATAGAACACCTATTTTTTAACAAAAAAATGCTGTAAAATGAACAACTTAAACTGTAGTAATATTACCAACTGTAAAATAATAAAAATGAAAAAAGGCGATATAGTTTCTGTACCTGTTTGATGCTAAATATTCTACAGGGTGTCAAGAAACTATTGCTCTGCTAAACAAAAACAAAATGTGAATTTTGTTACCTAAAATTTGACTAAATTTTTGTTTACCAGCAAAATTTTTGGACACTGTTTTTTATGTTGGAAAATGGTTAAAAAAAAAATAAAAAATGAGATCTACTCTCTATCACTATGTTACCTGTACCTAAAACTGCAGCTTTGAGCACATCGCTCATTTCCGATTCCAAAATGTTTTCATCTTCAGGTGTCGAAGGTAGAGGACACCCTATACATTCTTCCTCTACCTGTAACATGAAAATTCCCTAGATTTTAAGCGTTTTTTAGGTCTAGAAACAGAACCACTAATGATAGGCCAAAAAGTTAAATAGCAATTTTGTAGTACAATCCCCTACGAAATTCTTACCAACAACTTTATTGTTATACTCTTTAAGTCTTATTTTATTATTTAAGTAATACTACCAAAACAATTTTTTTTTGGAATGACATATATTCCTTAAAGTGTGGCAGAATGAAATATTCTATCATCGGATGACGGAATAAACACTGGTGGCGACATCTCTGTGTCTAATATCTAACAAATTTTAGACTGATCATCCAACCTCAATTTCTCCCAATTAAGTTCTTTTTTATGGTATTTTTTGGAAACGTAGAAAAAGTATAGTCTGAAACCATTATAACCACCGTGCCTAACAACGGAATAATAAACGTTGTTAGGCATTAGTGATTGGCTGATTTCAATATTCACTGTTACTTAAACTAATCGGGTTTAAAATTGGGAGGCGACTATAATATTTAAAATTGGTAGAAAGTGGGGTTAACCATCTGACAGATGTCAGATTTTATTTATTTAATTTGGAAGATCATTGAAAATCATTTAACATAATTGGAGTAGATAAAGTATAGTATTTCACTCGAGAAGCAAACCTCATCCTCGTGGAAAATAGCCTGCATTATCTATCATATAATAGAGGTCTTGAATACTTTCTTTTATTTTGGATAGATTTTTTTAAGTAAGTTTGATATTGCGTTTTCTACATGGAAGTGACTACTAACACGTCACGTCTTGTCTATAACTTATTTATCTATGCTAAAATTATTAGCACGACGCAACGGGTTTCCTGTTAAATAACAATAAACACGCCGTAGTTGCACACTAGAGTCTGTTCAGCGCACGCGCGTCAGCCTCAGCATGAAATTCCACCTCTAATGATAGGCACCCGTGTGACCACCCCACACTGTATTCTTGATAGGCACAATAAATTTGTTCGGAGAAATATTGCATGGAATTAAATGTACTACAAAATAGCTCCTTAACTTTTTGTCCTATTGTGAATAGTTTAGTTTGTAGACCTAAAAAACCCGAATCATTTTGCATTCCAAGTAAAATATTAGTGATAAACGGAGAAAATAAAACAGTAACCATTGATTCGCAGATACATAATAAACTATTGGAAATAATTTTTTAAAACCTTGATCATTTGGAAATATTTGGAATTGCATAATTATTCTAAATAAAAAATCGGTCAAAATTTGTATTTTTTTAATATTTACATTTTTAGTTTAAATGTATTTATTAATTTAAAATAATTTTGAATACTTAATCAATAATTACTCAAACTTTAGGGTGTTTCAAAAAACAGATGTTGCTGCAACACAAAAATTCCTTAAAGTATGCCCAAATAAACATTTGGAAAAAAATTCCTGATGTTAATTTAAAATTTTAAGGTGTTCAGTTTAAAATTACCCATTTAAAAAACACAATTTCTTCCTGCAATCTATGCACCCTTTTATTTTATAAATTGACTGAAAATCCTTCAATAACATTCAATTCTCTACAAAAAAATCTATAATCAGCGTACACACTACGTCCGCACGATACTGAACGCATACGTTTGCTGTACGCGCCTTAAAGGTTCTATTCTTAATAATTGAATCGGTGAGATTAAGAACAGACCAAGACCAAAATTTTAATTTTGACAAATCAATTTCTAAAATCAATTTAAAAGTTTTAAATGCATTTTTGTGAGAAGATATAAATCATTTCACAAAATATGATTATTATATTTTATAAAATACTTGAAATATTCACACAAAAATGCATTTTGAACTATAAAACTGATTTTATTAAATAATTTGTCAAAATATTAACCTTTGAACTGTTCTTAATCTCACCGAATGAAATATTGTGGGGGCACCCCAATTGAATTATTTTTAAATTTATACATGGTGTCTCTAAAACTTATAAATATAAATATACAGTAGTTGAATTTAGACCTGATACAGCAAACCAAGCACGGATTTGTAATCTACGACCAAAAATTAAGTTTACGTGTCCGAGCGTAGCTGTGATATTTTCACCTCCCTATAGTGTAATTTTCTTTTTTAAATTACGCGTTTTTAGGTCTACAAACTAAACTACTGGTACTCTTATTTTAACTATTAATTATACCTACAATAAATTTGTACACATGTAGGGACATATTATACAGGGTGTATCACGGTCGATGGCAAAAGATATCGAATTGAAACTTTTATAGCAATTATAATATCATTTAAACTATTTTTCTAAATTATTTTAAACAAAATTCCTTTTCCGCTTTTAACGGAAGCGATATCAACTTTCTTATTTTAAATTGATCACCACAATTTTTTTTACAATCATTCCTTATAAAATGTTTTCACCTTCAACAAAAAAAGCTTATAAAAGCTTTTTCAATATAAGGTTTGCTGATATTCGGTTTTTTAAAATTCTAAAGCACTGTTTTAAAGATTTCATGTAAATTAGTGTAATATTTCTAAAAAGATACTTGAAAAAAACAATGTGAATGTAGCTAACTTAAAACAACAATAACTTTTTTATTCATAATGAAACGCCCTGTATATTTTTACATAATTAAATATGAAATTATAATACCTTTTCATTGATATAAATATTCCCTATACCTAAAGTTAATATTAAGAAAGATATTTTACAATTAACCTAAAAACTGATAAAATGTTGCTCTTGTGTATTAATTTGGTATGAATAACAAAACTTTCCCTATATTTATTATTATTAAAATAAAGGAAAATAACTACTCAAAAGAAGTTGAAATTTTAGAATTTGTTAAATGTCTCTGAAATCATTAACATGTATGGGGAAACTTCCAATGGACCACGAATGTGAAACACCCTGTATATCAAATGGTGTTTTAAGGTTGTGATACCACTATAGATTCTTAAGCAATGTATAATCGTCAAACTAAAAGATTTGTTTCCAACATATTTTTAATATAAGATAAATACAAATCTGTTGTTTTATTAAAAAAAATAAAAATTAAATCCAAAGATATTTTTTTTTTTTACTTTAAGAAAATTAAAATTATTATTTTGAAGAAAAAATTTGATTTATAACAAAATAGACAATTAATAGTTATTTACTTGTCAAGCTTTGTAAATGAATCTTTATGGGTGAGCTGTGAGTCTAGTAAAGATTAAGTCCAAAGCGTGACACCTACAAACTTTTATTTTCACCATTAGATAACGATTTTCAAATTAATTAATTAATATGTCATGATATTTCATTTCATAAATTTCTTTTCTACAAGCCTATAAAACTTTACAGGTCTTTTACACAAGCCAGTAAAATATTACAGGTCTGTCCCCAGAGCTGTTCCGAGTACAATGAAAAAGTACTTGAGTACTGAATACAAGTACTCTTATATAAAAGTACTTGAGTACCAAGTACAAGTACACTACCGTAGTACGAGTATAAAGTACCGAGTACACTTTAGTTATGAAATGTTGGGAAAAATTCTAGAGCAGCGGTTCTTAACCTTTTTGGCTGGCGACCCACAATTCAAAAATATTAGAAGCTCGCGACCAGATAAAAAATAAAATCATCAATTGTCTACCCCTTACACTCCTGAGAAATTAAAATTCAAATTTTAAAGCAAAATTAAAGTTTTCTCCACAAAATTGCTTTAATATGAAAACCAAAATAAAACAATTTTTTTGAAGAGTCAAAGAATTAACCTTTCCTGAAGACACTTTAAGCATTCTATATTAAATAAAGCCATTTTTGTAATAAATAAAGCCATTTTTGTAATAAAAAGACAATAACTTACTATTAGACGCAATGATGTCAAGATACATACACCTTAAGATAGGATGGTGCGCATGTTGGGCGGGGCTTAATGACGTCACTTGATGAGTGTTTTTAAATCTTTAACGTGCTTTTTAATTATCTGCTGCTAAAATTCTTCTTTTTGCGATGCTCTTGGATGTTAACTTGCTCTACTTTTTGTTTAACTTGTCGTTTTTGTGTTCGGTAAGGTTCGAATTACTTTTCAGCGTTCAAATTATTGTTATTGCGTTAGGTTAACCTGTTAGGTTTGTTTATTATTGTTTTTGTGTTGCTTTAACTTGTTTTTTTTGTGTTTTAGATTGTATAGTGCCATTTGCATTTATTAAAATGCGGTGTGGAATATTTGGATGCAATTCGGACAACCAGTCCAAGAAAAACCCTTTAAATAAAAACATTAAATTTAATCGATTCCCGAAAAAGTTTGATTTGTGGAAACAGTGTTTAAATGCCACAAAAATAATAGACAATATTTACGTTAAGACCGCTTCTGTTTCCTATAAACATTTTCTGGACAGTGAGTATAAGTTTAATTTAAAACACCAACGCTTAAACTACAGCCCTAAATGTTATCAAGGACTGAAAGCATTTATTATCTATATTATAACACTTTCTTCAATATTAAGTTTAATAATAATAATAAGAAATTTCTCTATTTTCTTTGATAATATTACTATTATTCGTGTATTCGCACGGCAACCACTCATCAAGTGACGTCATGCGCGGGACGAACCAAAACTCGTACACGGGAGCATCCAGCCCTGCAATGATGTAAAGAACTAGCACGCTTAAATTGCCATCCAAAACAAAAAAAATGCAGAAATTGGTGAGCGCATGCTCTTGTCTGCGTAGTAAACACATATCACAATTGTACGATTGAGGAGTGGGAGCTCCACTGTATCATTTAACCCATAAAGTATATGTACATAAGGAAGTCACAATTGTAGCCACATGGAGCGTAAGGGCTACATTTTCTTTATTTAAAGTAAGTTAAGTAGTGATTACGGCGCACTTTTTCAAAAAGTCCCGCAAGTCCTGCGACCCATCTCGATATGGCCCGCGACCCAAATTTGGGTCGCGACCCGAGGTTAAGAAACGATGTTCTAGAGAAATGGGGGATTAAGAAATAAATTTAGAATCACTAGTGCAAAACTAAATACTAGCCGGCCTATTGCCTTCATCAAATATTGATATTTTGCTTTATGTTAATTATCAAGGCCGGCTAGTGTCTTGTTTTACTTTGCCTTAGCTTCATTTTTTAATTATATTTTTGAGAAATATTGTCACCTTATTTCTACCAAAATATAAACAAAATACATTTAATACATAAGTAAAAACTTTTTGTTCAATGCTCTTTCCTGTGTCTCTTTATTTATTGATTGAGGCTGTCTTAAGGATGTCGTGTGACGCAGGCTGGCTGAGGCTGCATGTCCGTAATTTGACAAGTCTGAGCAGTGTTGCCAAATTTTCAAAACCCACACACATATTTGCACATATGTGTCCACGTTAACCTCACTGAATAAAAATGTACTCATTGCATACTTTGGATGTACTCAAGTACACGTAAAAGTACTCAAGTACACGGGAAAGTACTCGAGTACATTTTTGCAATCTTAAATGTATCAAGCACAAGTACATTCAAATTAAAGTACTTGGGACTGAGTACCGAGAACACTGAAAGTACTTGGAGTACAGTTTTGAGTACTTGTACTTGAGTACCGCACAGGTCTGTCTGTTTCCATAATGTATGGATACAAAAACAACAAAATTAACATATAAAATGTCATTTACTATATAACTATATTACCTATATAGGTATTAAAATAGGTACACATTATTTTTATGGTAGATTTCATATCTAGGTAAATGTAACAAATTGTTTGCCAATATGTTATTCGGGACTGAGTACCGAGAACACTGAAAGTACTTGGAGTACAGTTTTGAGTACTTGTACTTGAGTACAGTGGCAGACACAGAATTTTGAACGTTATAATTTGGTTATCCATGTATAAATCTGTAAATAGCAAAGAAACAATATTGTCCATTTTTGCTTTCGCTGTCAAAACGACAAGCCTAGTGATAACCGGAAGTAAGGTTAGTTGGCCATAAAGGAAGTTAAGATTTTAATATTAACTGGACGAAAGCCGTTCAAAATTCCGTGTCAGCCACTGTACCTCACAGGTCTGTCTGTTCCCATAATGTATTGTTTACTTGGATACAAAAACAACAAAATTAACATATAAAATGTCATTTACTAAATAACTATATTACCTATATAGGTATTAAAATAGGTACACATTATTTTTCTGGTAGATTTCATATCTAGGTAAATGTAACAAATTGTTTGCCAATATGTTATTTTGATAAAAATATTGGATACCCACCATTTTTAATTAAAAAACACTGATAAACAACTGTTTTCTTTATAATTTTAAATAAAAATATTCTATTTTGAAAAATATGAAAAAACTCACCAAAGAATTCACATCTTCATCTAATAAATCCTTAATTTCTGATGCTATGGATTCAGTATCCAAATCCCACCTTTTTCTTTTACGAATACCTTCATCAAATGCATCTTTTAAAGAATCTTCAGCATCACTATAGTGAGACATGATTGTAGTAAAACACTACAACTTTACACTAAAATAAAGGTTTTATATGATAGAAAAGGTCAACTTCAAAATTCTTGTGACGCCACATTTATAAAACTGTACATTTAACATAAACAAACAAGAAATGAATATTCTACCAATAATTCCGTTATATATAATCAAAATACCATGCCACAAAAAAATGAACATGAAAAAACAAAAACAGAAATAATACTTACCACAAGTGAATCTTTTAACTCTTTTTAATAATCAACACTTTTTTATTCTTAAAAAAAACTTAAAAAACGTTAAATTACAATAATATCGATAAATATCCTCAGAAAAATTACATGACAAATAATCAGCTGTCAACACTTTTCTGTTTCATTTCGTTGGCAATAATCACTTTGATAAATTTGCCCGCGTTATTTAAAATGTTCTAAAAATACCTATGTAAAAGAAAGTGGAAATTGCTGTATTAAAACGTAGATTATCGATTTAACAAAGTACTTTATTGCTCCACATAGGGTAATTTATCGGGTACGCCTCGATGCATCGAAACTCAATAGATCGAATCTCGCTAGATCGAAAATTTACATGACCTTCGAAGCTCACCAGATCGAAAATGTGTGGCAACGTCTCTTTTGAAACGTCAAAGGCTTAAGGCTTTGTTCACATGTTTTATACAAAAAACGTATTTTCTTAAATGAGATCTACCTACTTTCGTTCAAACAAGATTTCGGTCAAAGAAAAGTAGTATACATCTGAACCAGAATCTGGCAGATAGGTATGCAATGATATTTATCAAATAAAAGTACAGATAAATATAAAATCCCCTTCTCAGATTTTTTTTTAATATCGGAAAATTCATATATAAAATAATAATTATTGGAATAAATTTTGGAAAGTGTTGTCAATGTATAAGGGGAATAACCATACATTCCTTGCAAATAAATCATGGAAAATGCATGGTTTTATAAATAAATATTAATATACTCATATGCATGGTTTTATAAATAAATATTAATATACCTACTTACTCATATTGTGAGTTACGTGTAAGGGGCAATTCATTAATTACGTAAGGGTCCCGATGTGGGAGGGGGGGTTCTCAAAATCTCCCCATACCCTTATCTCGGGGGAGGGGGGCTAAAAGCCATTCTTATCATTTTCTAAAACCAGATAAAATCTTACGTAAGAAGGGGGAGGGGGAGTCCGAAAAATCTTATGTGATCTTACATGGGGACAGGGGGGTCAAAAATGGCCAAAATCGTCCTTACGTAATTAATGAATGGCCGCTAAGTGTAACTTGGTGTTATATCCAGGACTCATGGAGGGTTATTTTTTTTTCTATGGAGTAGGTACCCAGCAAACCAGGCTGTTCCATTTACATAACCATGATATAACTAACAAAGAACATTGCCATATAAAATTGTTTACATAACATTTACATATTAGTTATTTATTTTGTTACATAATTATGATAAAACATAATAATATAACATTTACATAAATATGTTCCCCTCTTGTTATATTTACATCCCCCTTATGTATCAGCCATATAACAATGTTATATATCTACAATGGAACAATGATACATCATTGATATATGGCAATGTTTTATAGTATCCATATAACCTTATTATATGGTATTTACATAGTTTTTCTTTATTTTGTTACATAATTATAATAAAAAAATTTTATATAATAGTTATATCAAAATGATCCCTTCTTGTTATATTTACATCCCTATTATGTCATGGCTATATAACAATGTTTTATACCTACATTGTAACAATGATATATAAATGTTATATATTAATGTTTTATAGTATTTATATAGCCTTTTTATCTTACTAACGAACTCGTTTAAACGGTTGTGTCGAGTGCTCTCTATTGTGTTTTAAGTTAAGTTAAGTTTGATTCCATTTTTTTATAATAAAATGGAAGACAAAAATAGAAAAAAATATATTTCCCTATCCCGGAGGCAAAAGCGGAGGAGAATTAATGCAGATCTCAAAATAATGGGCGTGGAGGTAAGAAATTGTATAGAAAATACCCAAGACAATGTGGAATATACTGAGGCTAAAACCGAAGTATTATCTTTCCCTAACCAGCCAATAAATAAACATATAATAAAAATATTTTTACAGAAAATTTGGGAGAATATTCAGGAGGTCATAGGAAAAATTCCCATACTTTTGTGGAAGATTTGTGTAATAGATACTTACCTGGTCAACTTTTTATTAATGATCTGTTAAAAGTTTTGAGAAAATGTTAACATTATTGCAAAAAGAAGTAGAGGCTGAATTTGTAAGTATATAAAGGGCGATTTTAAACCTTTTAATAATGTTAATTTGTTTTTAAAACAGGGTGCTAAAAAACAAGCGACAAGTTATAATTTAATGATATTTGGTAGCCAAAATAAGAGTTTAATTTCTATATTTTTTTTTAACTTTATACTGTTTTTTCAACTGGTACTTAAAAGATACAATAAATTTGCTAAATAACCAAGATGGATACACTTTTTTATTATAATTGTTGTGACAATTAATTTTATGCAAATTCCATATTTTTCATTATTTTTATAACTCTTAAGGTTGCAGGGTGAATTTGACTTGAATAAATAAAATCAAACAAATTATTATTTGTACCAAATATCATTTACATAACTACATAAAGAATAGTTGTTCTTTATTTTGAAAACAAATTAATAAACAAAAATAATATTAAATTGTATTTTTTTTCAGTTTCAGTATATAACAAAAATTGGAGGCGTCTCAGAGAAAGATGCCACAGTAAGAGTTTTAAAGAAAATCTTCTCAAATAATTTGGCAAAAGATTGCTCTTGGCTGGGGCTAAGAAACAACAATAAAATTCAAAATTTAAAATCTGTTGAAATATTGAAGGGTAAAAATGTAAACTTTATTAAATAAATTTTTTTAAGCTGCTGTGTGCACTTTGACAGACAAAAATTTTGAAGGCATAGTTTCCGAATGGTTCCGGCAGGCCAAACAAAGATTTGGTATACCCTATAGGGAAGCAAAAAACCCATGTAAGAAGGTATATTAATATTAAATTCATGGGATTGCTTTATCTTTATTACCATATATTTTTTAGCTTTAAAGTATTAATGTATTTGGGATTTTTTTTGTTTGGAAAAACTTTTCGTTTGTTTTAAGAAGTTAGAAAGAAGAAATGATTTGTTTTTTTTTAATTAAAATAATTTTTAATAAACATTTAAACCAATTTGTTTTTTTTTTAATCTCTTTCAGAATCATTTATTTTTGTAATGTTTACTTATTATTTATGTAATATTTATTTATAATTTATTTAATATATTATCTAACTGGCATTAACAATTTCTTAGTTCTAATTTGGTATTATGGCAATTTTAAAATTTTGTTGATTTTTTTTCAAAAAATTTGCCATAATACCAAGTTAGGGCTAAGCAATTTTTAATACCAGTAAGATAATATATTACATGAAATTATATTTATAAATATTTCATAAATAATATGTAAATATTGCATAAATTATATATAAATAAGTAAATGCAACATTTATGTAAATAGAATATAATTGTTTTATCACGTTTACATAACTATGATATGGCGCTGTAACATTACAGTTACATATCTATGATAAAACACTGTTACATCACAGATACATACCCAGGAAGGGGTCTTGAGGCGGACATAGGAGCATTGCCATTACATATAGGTGACATAGCTGTTGCATAGTAAGGAACAATTTTTATGTAAATGTTATATCACTGTTACATAACTGATATGGCGCTGTAACATTACAGTTACATAACTATGATAAAACACTGTTACATCACAGTTACATACCCAGGAAGGCGTCTTGAGGCGGACATAGGAGCATTGCCATTACATATAGGTGACATAGCTGTTGCATAGTAAGGAACAATTTTTATGTAAATGTTATATCACTGTGACATGATTTGGTTTGCTGGGTAGGTATGCTTTAACTAATTAGTTTTTTACTTTTTTCTGTGATGTATTTAAAGATATCTACATATGTAGGTATTATCTTTGCTTCAATGTAGGGATATATATATATATATATATATATATATATAAACTCAAACGGTATACCCTATAGGTATAGGGTATACGTAGGGTACCCTTTGAGTTTTTCTGTACAGATTAACCTGAAGGGTAAATACACGAAAGCAAAGATAATACCTATAGGTATAGGGATGTATACATCCATATCACGTAAAATATTAAAGATTAAATGATTTGAAGCCATATTATTTCAGATTTACAGAAAATACAGGATTGTTGTGGGAATATTCATATTTCTATTGTAAATTATAATACAAAATTATATAAAAAATATTTATTTTCTCTTATAAAACAAAAATATTATGTTACCTAGGTATTATAAAAAACTGTAAATAATCAAATAAAAAAAAATCTGGTATTGCCACGTTCTTCGTGGAAAACTTCAGGCTGATCCTTCAGAGGATTCCTCGGTTTCTGGTGGTGCTTCGGTAAATTCTGCGGAGGCATCGGCTAACGCTGCATTTGCTGATGCTGCCGCATGTAGTTGGCGCTGGGCTTTTGACAGATAGATTTAATTCTAAATTTGCCTTGTTGTCGCAGGAACGCCTAAATGCAGGAATGTGCTCCATCTTAATATAATTTTTGCGTAAAATAAAACAAACCAAATCAAACCAAACCCAACCAACCCAACCCCCCGTAACCGCCCTATTGAAGCCTACACAGCAAACGAAAAATTATAGAAGTGTATAGGATGACTCCGCGTTTGAATATCAAATCTTAAAGTTTTATCATAACTGTATTGAATCGTGCTTTGTTTTTATATTTTTCGGCTCTATACCTATGCACGACTATATTTAAAGTCAAACTCAATGGTGTCTTACAAGATACATTATTTTGATTTTCTATATTCAACAGAGAAGTAGAAACTCGACCCTGTCGAATGGTGCAGTCATATATGTCTCTAGAAATTATTAAAAAAAGGTTCAGTCCAATGGTGCAGCAACTTCGGATTCCTATTCTCCTCAGAGACATAGAAACTCAAGCTTTTCGAATTTTACTGGCAATGATTTTCGTTAATGTCCCCGAGAATTATACAAAAACAGCGCAATGCAATATCGCAACGGTTTCGACTTCTCTTTACTCTACCAAGTTATAGAAACTGGAGTCTCTCTAATACTGTTCTAGTCAATATTTCTGAGAGTATAAAAAGAGGGTGTAATATTGCAAGAAGTTTTGATCTTTTGATGGATGAATTTTCTCATTTTTCCATATGATATTGTTGAAAATAGTTCCTTTCTTTGGTTCCTTTGTCTGATTTTTATTTACCGTAACAACTCAGGTATGTA